CTCCCTTCTTCTGTTTTCCCCAATCCATATGCTGATAGTACAGAGCTCTAGAAGTCACTCTGCACATGCTCAGTTTGGTTTGTATTGCTACAGCGTTTTTCTTTTTTTGGGGGGAGACTGCATGTGATCAGCATAGGGTCAATTAACACTGTCCAGACAGAGGGTCAGAGGTCGTGCAGCCTCATAGGACAGTGAGAGGAGAATGAAAACTACTCCTATAAGCTTTAACCAGTGCTCTGCTGCACACTGATAGAAGTCACAAGACTGCTGATTAGAAACAGTATTTAACAGTTTATATTTACTAAAATAATCACATTTCCATGTTCTGTGGGAGACAAGATATAGTGAATGCAGGGTCCTGGGTTTAGTAACAATTTAATGTGGAATGTATGTTCCTTTTTAAAGAACATTATTTTTTTTTTTATCAAGTTGTTATGTGCAAGGTTCTGCTTTAAATTTAACCCAGTAGCTATAGAAAAAAATTGTGCACAAGACTAAGTGGCAAAGTTTTCGCATTTTTCAGAATTTAAAATAGAAGTGTATGGCAATAATTTGCTTTTTAGCAATTCCATAGAAGAATCCCACAGACAGCTTCTTAAAAAACACAAGATTTGCATACAATAAAAATAAAGTGCTTTCATACTGTGCATGATGGTAATACAGAAGACTTGGTTTGAGAATGTGAAAGTTTCCTTAGCTTAGCTTCTATAGTTCCTGTGCAGAAATACATTAACGCCTACTGTCACTTACAGTAAGGTGCTCGCCAAGTGTGTTCTAAACAGTGGAAGCCACACAGAAAAGTGATGACAGGGGCCTGAATTATTTGAAACAAACGACTGAATTCCTTTTAGTTTTTCTGCCTTTATGGCTGGTACTATTAAACTTCAATCTATTGTATATTGTATGTCAATAATAGAAAATTGAAGCTATTATATAATACTGGTGTATAATAAATCATCAAGGGAAATAATTTATTTCTGCTTTCTAGTTAAGCCATGCTGTCTATTAAGGGTCTGTCACTAGAATTGTTGCACAAGTTGTACATCTCAGGTATTCTTTTGACTTTGAAAAAGGAGTCAAAAACATGACTGTCTAGGATTAAAGACATGGTCTGTTTGTCCTTCCTATGTCTAGTGATCAATCTTTTTACACGTTTTATCTTTATCATGCTGATACAGTATGCTTTCTGCAGTTTCGCCTATGATACAAGGGTTGCCTATCTTTTGCTGCAATACTGTGTTAGCTCAACTCTACCGTTAGCAGGGAGCCATCATTAAAATTAGGCAAACCAGCGAGTTGAACGAAAAAGTCAATTCCCCCATCCTCATACTCAATGTAGATGGGGGAATCCTCCCTGCTGAATTATTGTATTGTAGCAGCAGAAAGACTTCCCCTGCTGTCAGAATACACTGATCAGGATTGTAGGCAATGCTGATCCAGTGGGGAAAATCCAACAGAGTGGTTGTACAAAAGTCGATTGGTACATCGACTTCTGTACAATCACTTTGCCCATACATGGATAGAAATTAGCCCACTCCCTGCTGAATCAGTTGAATTTTCATCCATGTATGGCCAGCTTTAAAGTATATGTAAACCCTCCCAACCCATTCAGTTTAAAATAGAAATGAAAGGCAAAACATTTGTGAATATATGTAAAAAACATTATGAATACCTTTTTTTCCCGTTTCATAAGTGATCACATACCCTCTAAGCTCCTTATGCAGCAGAAAACAGAGAGCTAGGTGAGAAGAAACAATTTCTTTGCCCATACATGATAGAAATTAGCCCACTCCCTGCAGAAGCAGCTGAATTTTTATCCGTGTATGGCCAGCTTTAAAGAATATGTAAACCCTCACATTGTAAATCAACCCATTCAGTTTAAAATAGAAATGAAAGGCAAAACATTTGTGAATATATGTAAAAAACATTATAAATATCTTTTTTTCCCTGTTTCATAAGTGATCACATACCCTCTAAGTTCCTTATGCAGCTAATAACAGAGAGCTGGGTGAGAAGAAACAGACTTCCCAGTGAAAAGCTGTGCAGGGGGGGTGTGAGCACAAGTCTGATCATTGGAGGAGAGAAAGCAGAGTTCCCGGCATAGCTAGAGAACTGACCACGCTTTGCTCTCATGCCTAGTGTAGTGAGTTTTTAATAGGAAAGCATAGGGACTGGCAGGAGCACTAGGTATTTCACACAAAGGAAGCAATACAAAGAGAACAGGATATGTTTTCATACAAGTACATGGAACAGCAGGCACATATCAGGAATATGAAATGTTGGGTTTACATACTCATTAAGCTCTCTCTTTGCTCTTAATGGCATAATACATGTTCACTTTAAAGTGGGTAAGACATGCAAATATACTTTAAGTTCTTCAATAACTTGCATTACTGCTAACTACATGTCCTTGTGAACACTGGTGAGAAAACTAGCAGACTATGTGATAAAAAAAAAACATAATCAGATTGAAAACAACATATAGAAGTATTTGGTAGTTCCAGATACTCAGCTGACATATGTGCAAATTTGTTTTTCATGGTAGGAATAAAGCTTGGTCCTGACCTTAAATTACAAACAAATGGTAACCACCCCAACCTATAACTGCCCTTTGCAGCGAGGAGCACATGGAAGGGTGACACGTGTCAAAAAACAACAAACAAGCATTCCCAGCTCACTTACCAGCCAGCCTGCAACAAACTGAAATGGTCCTGACCTTACATGCCTTTATACTACCCTTTAGTCCTTTAAAATGATGGGTGGGATGATTGACAAATAAGGAGTACTGGATTAAAGAAAAATCCAGCTAAAGGATCACCTGCCACTAACAGTCAGACTTCAAGAAAAAACTTCATTCCCACTACTTTTCATAAGATACTGCTTTTTTTTCATTTACTAAGATTTAAGTTGGCAATAAAGAGATTGATTTTTTTTTCTTATTCAGCAACTACAGTGAACAAAAATCTAGTAGACCCCTCCATCCACACAAACAAGGTGCATGGAGGAAACCCCCAACCACCACCACCCCTGCTGAGACAATATATTTTGACAGCGGGACTTGCTGCTGTCAGAATACAATGATCAATGGATGCAGCTGCTGATTAACAAGAGTTCCTTCAACAGACATCGATCAAACAACTGACTTCTGTCAAACATGTACAGTCCAACACTGATCGAAATTTGATCAGTCTATGGCCAGCTTTAGTATGCATACAAATAACTCTGCAGCTGCTCAAGGGGATGACTTTCACTGCACCTTGTAGTGAAAAAAGCATGCCAGCAATGCCTACTTTTAGACAACTCAAAATAATCAGACCATCTTGTTTGATATAATCAGTTTAGAAACTGGCGTATGAACTCAGAATAAACAAACGAAAAAAAAAAATAAGTGTGCAAAAGTAGAGTGCATAGCAATTTTTTTTTATCTGCCAGTTCTAATTGCACTGGGATTGGAATATGGACTCTGCCACCCAAAGTAATCCAACCAGAAACGCACAATATATACTCAGAGGTGAGTGGGGGGAGGCAGCGCTAAGACGTATCTACCCTGTGTGCATTTGGGAATGGACCATCAGCAATGGGGGGGTTAGTAGAAGGTCCATGTGGAGGTGGTGTCCAAGTCCATCTGTAGTGGGGAGCTTGTAGTAGTATGGACTCGATCCGGCGCTCTTAGTGTTAATCACGGCATCCCTGCTCATCGTGTGACTTAATTGACTGATCAGCCCCACTTACAGGCTTTACCCATATAAGCCCACACAAAGATGGCCGCTGGATCAGCCTGACGAAGGAGTGAACATGTTCCGAACACGCGCCATTGTGGAAACCCAGTCCATGCGGTGACATCATCCCTGCGAGCCTCCCTGCACCCCTCTGCTACTCCCCAAGCCCTGGACACAATCGGAGCAGTGGGAAAACACCCAGAGCACAGCCAAAGTACCTGATGCTCCCACTGGACCTCCATCACTTGACATGCCTACTTGCTACCTATCTATATATGTTCAATTTTACCATTAAATCTGCCTGATTTTAACAGTCTACACACATAGCGGTGTTGCTGTCTCTCTTCTCTTCATCACAATATATACTCACACTTTGATATTAAACATGCCAATGTACTATCATAGATTTAGATCAAAAGCATTGCTCCTAGGAAGCAAGCATTGCTCCAAGCATTTTTTTTCTTCATTCTCTTATTTAGTTGTTATTTAATCTGTTTCTATGTTAATGGGGAAATAAAGCTAAAGTTTTAAAATGGCTGTATCTAGAAGAACACCCTTTCATAAAAATGGTAATGGGATAGGAGCTACTGTGCTACTTCTCTTTTCACTGTCCAATGTAGCACTACCTCCGCGAGGGCCGCTGCCACTGTGTTTCTGTATACTCCTAAGCTCTGCACAGCTAGGCAACACGCATTTTCCGCAATTTCATCCACAGTCAGTGAACAGTTCAAGATCTTGTTTTTTGTTATTTTATTAGGGGAATATACACTATATTGCCAAAAGTATTGAAACACCTGCCTTTACACACACATGAACTTTAATGGCTTCCCAGTCTTAGTCTGTACGGTTCAATAGTTGCTCATCAAAGTTTTTATGGACCTTGCTTTGTGCACTGGCGTACAGTCATGTTGGAACAGGAAGGGGCCATCCCCAAACTGTTCCCAAAAGGTTGGGAGCATGAAATTGTCCAAAATGTCTTAGTATGCTGATGCCTTAAGAGTTCCTTTCACTTGAACTAATGGGCCAAGCCCAACCTCCGAAAACCAACCCCACACTATAATCCCCCCTCCACCAAACTTTACACTTGGTACAATGCAGTCAGACAAGTGTCGTTCTCCTGGAGGCCACCAAACCCAGACATGTCCATCAGATTGTCAAACAGAGAATCATGATTCATCACTCCAGAGAACATGTCTCCACTGCTCTAGAGTTCAGTGCTCTACACCACTGCATCCAGCGCTTTGCATTACATTTGGTGATGTAAGGCTTGAATACAGTTGCTCAGCCATGGAAACCCATTCTATGAAGCTCTCTACACACTGCTGTTGAGCTAATCTGAAGGCCACATGAAGCTTGGAGGTCTTTAACTATTGACTCTGCAGACAGTTTTCTTCTTCTGCACACTGTGCGCTTCAGCATGTGCTGACCCCGCTCTGTCATTTTCCGTGGCCTACCACTTCGTGGCTTAGTTGCCATTGTTCCCAGTTGCTTTGACTTTGTTATAATACCACCAACAGTTGACTGTGGAATATTTAGTAGCAAGGAAATTTCATGGATGGACTTATTGCACAGGTGGCAACCTATCACGGTACTACGTTTGAATTCACTGAGCTCCTGAGAGCGACCCATTCTTTCACAAATTTTTGCATAATCAGTCTGCATGCCTACATGCTTGATTTTATACACCTGTAGCCATGGAGGTGATTGGAACACCTGAATATCGTGTAACTTGGATAGGGTACTAGGGATTATGGAATGCCCAACTTGACTGAAACAGTGCTTGGGGACAAATTCCTTCCTATTTACAGAAACAGATCCTGGACTGTTCTTTTCCTTGAAAGCCATCAGTGTTTGTGGATCAGTAGCAACAGCAGTTTGCGGGTGAGAAACTCGCAGGCACTCTGAAATCAACTTACAGTAACTTCTTGTAAACTGCATGGAGAGATGTCTCCTCTCCTCTGTAGAACTGCTCCCAGCTCCACAGCCTGCAGACACTACCAACCCTCCTGGCTGCTCTGAAGATCTCCCAGGACAAAGATAACAGCACTGTCCTTTGAAAGCTTGCGACATGTGGCAGGCTTTCCCCTTGTGAATCCCAGGGTGTGCTGATGTACTCAATCTGTCCTCTTTGCTCCTACTGCTCCCAGGCCTTGATCCTGTTCATAACGTGCTGCTGAATGGATACTGAGCCAGCCTGAGCTAAGCCTGTAGGCCAGACCCCTGGGAACTGGGGGGGACCCCTCCCCCCCACCCCCAGACCCCCCCCAGTCTCCTCGGCTCTCCATCTTCCACCCAACTCCCCAGTCGGCCTGACTATCCATAATTTATTGGCTGGTCCACCACTATATCAGGGCCTCCAAATCTGGGATTGGCTAGACTCCCACAAATATGCAGATTAGGTCTCCACCTCTTCCGCCTACTGGCTTCTAGAAAGTTCCCATGGTCCTCCAGATCCAGGAGGAGGCAATAGAGTCCCAAACTGTTACGCCATCCAGCTTGACCTGCAGTAACCCGACCTTAATCACAGACTCAGACAGTTACCATGAGTCGTACACAAATACACTCACTGGCCACTTTATTAGGTACACTTGTTCAATTGCTTGGCAACACAAATTGCTAATCAGCCAATCACATGGCAGCAACTCAATGCATTTAGGCATATAAATGTGGTGAAGATGATTTACTGAAGTTAAAACTGAGCACCAGAATGGGGAAGAAAGGAGATTTAAGTGACTTTGATCGTGGTATGGTTGTTGGTACCAGACGGGCTGGTTTTAGTATTTCAAAATCTACTGGGATTTAGAGAGAATGGTTCAAAAAAGAGAAAATATCCATTGAGCAGCAGTTGTGAGGACGAAAATACCTTGTTAATGTCAGAGGTCAGAGGAGAATGGGCAGACTGGTTTAAGATGATAGAAAGGCAAAAGTAGCTCAAACATTCATTACAACCAAGGTATGCAGAATACCATTTCTGAACTCACAACACGTCAAACCTTGAAGCAGATGGGCTACGGCTACAGCAGCAGAAGACCACAGCGGGTGCCACTCCTGTCAGCTAGGAACAGGAAACGAAGGCTACAATTTGCACAGGCTCACCAAAATTGGACAATAAAAGATTGGAAAAATGTTGCCTGGTCTGATAAGTCTCAATTTCAGCTGCGATATTCAAATGGTAGGGTCAGAATTTGGGTGTAAACAACATGAAAGTATGGATCCATTCTGCCTTGTATCAACGGTTTTAGCCTGGTGGTGGTAGTGTTATGGTGAGGGGATATTTTCTTTGCACACTTTGCTTTGGGCCCCTTAGCACTAAATGAGCATCGTTTAAACGCTCCAGCTTACCTGAGTATTGTTGCTGACCATGTCCATTCCTTTTATGACTACAGTGTACCCATCTTTTGATAGCTACTTCCAGCAGGATAATGCACCATGTCACAAAGCTCATTTAATCTCAAACTGGTTTCTTGAACATGACAATGAGTTCACTGTACTTTAATGGCCTCCACAGTCACCAGATCTTAATCCAATAGAGCACCTTTGGAATGTGGTGGAACGAGGGATTCGCATCATGGATGTGCAGCAACTGCATGGGTAATCTGAACTAGGAGGAAGTGGGTTGAATGACTTAGGATATCTGACAGCAGGAAAAAAATTACTGTGGGAGAAATCTGTATATTGAAGGTGACTACTATTAGGGGTTTGAAACCGAGTAAACGTCACTTATTGGAGAATTGCTTTAAAAACGCAAATGCGTAAATAAGCAATGTGTAATGCACATACTGGCTCTTTTATGGTATTTACTGCATACTGGGCACCTTTTAATTCTATGACTAGAAAAACAAATATATTGTTTTTCACTTACTAACTTAATCAGGTTTCTTAGTAGATAAATATGGAGTTCATTCCCTTTAGTAATACTTTATTTATGACTAATATTTTCTAGTTGTATCTCACTTAATAGAGGAGTTGTTGCCCTGGCAGCCAATCAAAATTTCATCTTTCTGTACAATCAAAGGAGAAACCTGATTAATAAAAATTAATTGTATGGTCATTTCTATTCTCACTTTTAATGAACCAGCTGCTTGGCCACATATTTTCAGTACCATGGACAGAGAACTGAATACAAGAGGCTTCCTGGTTCTGGGTGGCAAGGGCAGCCTGCCTGTACATTTGCTACACATGGTATGTAAGTAATCTAAATAAGCATTAACATGGATTTATGAGTATAATCCCCTTAAATGCATTTAATAGACTGTTGCAAATAACTCTCCAGTAATGATCAATACTAGTTTGTAACGGATTAAAGAGCATTTGCTTGGTAACAGACTTTTGTGTAGTCATGTACTATATATGCTTACATTCAGTTGCCTTTGATAAGAAACATACCAAAACATGACTGGGGTGGTACTCAAACCTTTCATATTTTAGATACTATTTTCCATGTTCTTCCCCCTTTCTAGACAGGAGCTTGTGGTAAGCTAGTAATAAATTTGTTTTATGGCCAATAGATTGTTTTTATTATATTAAGCCAATCTGTATTGTTTCATTTTGCATGATTTTATGGGATTTTCTCTGGATTTTTAGCACAATAAAAGATATGAACCATAGTTTATCAAGTTTGTATTGGCCAATGTAATAGGGCATACACTTTCCTCTAAGTTGAATTGGGAAGGAGAATCTAACAGATTCACTGATCAAAGCAAACTCTTTGTCCCAAGTGAAGATTTTTTTTGTCTAAGTGAGGTTCTAATAACACTAACAAGTATGTAATTGAAACTTGTATTTCAGACGACATGTTTAAAGTTGATTGGCTACATAAAAAAGAAGTATTCATAGCAACATTGACATGTTTTATTAATATTTGTTATAATTGGTGTTAATCACATTATGATAAACAGACTAATTTGATTTTCTAGTGTAAGTTTTCAAAGGACTTACACCTTAAGATAGATAAGTGTGTGTGTTGTTTATAAACAATTAGGTTGTTATTAAAGGTTGTTTAGATGGTTTAAGTATAAAACCACACCAGGCACCGGTGGTCCCCCATGCAGTAACACGATCATCTTATCTCAGTCAGCACTATTCTAGGTAAGACCAGACAAAATTTTCATCTTAGGCTGATCATACACAAAGCAAATGTCTTGATTCTTGATTATGACAATTCTTGATGGGTGGCCCTGTAGGTATTCAACCACCCAATATCCTAAGGAGCCAGGTGAAAAATTGTCAGCTGAGTAGTGGCTACATCCAATGAGATAATAATGGCTGACAAAGGAGATTCAACTAATAACCTTCCAACCCAAGTCAATAAGGAAATCAAGGTATAACGTGTTACGTAATAATATGTTTAGGTTGCCAAATGACAACTATACAATGCAAAACTGTGGCCAATCTTTGCTTATAAACTAGCTAATCAATGAATTGATTGTCATCTAAATTTAAACTGCTATTTAGAAATGGGCAATCTTCTTTAAAATCCACTCTGGCAATAACTCCATTGATTTACTCTAACAGTCCTTTTCACTGGAAACATTTTGTGATTTAAAAGATTTCCTATGGTTTATTTCAGGGTAAATATGTGGCAAAAAAAACCCTACATTAGATCAATTTACACATCTATTGAGCTGAGATTGTATCTAAAAGGCATTCAGATTAAAATAGCATATTTTTCTAAGGGGATGTATGCAGTAGCACTATATCTAAGAAAACAATTGATCATTACATTTTATATAAAAGCATATTTTTTTCTGGGAGTTCTTAGCACCAAATCATCCTCAGTGATAAACTTTTACCCATGGGGCCAAAAGGAAAGCCAATGCACAGACAGTTGGCTATTGCAAAATAAAGAATGCTAGTGGTGAATAACTGTGCCACACTACAATCCAGAGAAAGTTTGTTCCATTACCGTGGCACAGAGAGACCATGGATCAAATTTAATGACTACTTGGGACAGGGAAAACATTTGTGTGGACCATATAAAGGCTGCCCACTCTTACTAATATAGAAAATAGTATTGATGCGACTTTCACTTGTGGATTGCAACCAATAAAACTTTTAAGGGCAAATAGGCAACTGAGAAACTGTTAACTACAATCACAGAGGGCAATGTGCTATCAAAATAAATTCTTGTATAAACTATCCATACTTGGCATTGTGCATTAAGTGAAAAGAAAAAACGTAGTGTATCACTGCTGCCACAGTATATATAACCCAGAATAACTAACAATTTTAATACAAACAATGTGTAGACCTGTGAACAATACAATAATGATCAGTAACAGTTAAATATGAACATACAGTCACATAAACTCTTGAAAGTTCCCAAAATACTTAAAGTGAATGAATGCTATGGATGAACATATTCAAATAAACATTGATAAATAAATAAATCCACCAAATGCTTGAGTGAAACACTTTATAAGTCCCATAAAGTGTCCAACTCCACAAATTTTGCTGCTTGTGTAACCAAATGCTTCAGTGCTCCACCTCTCCCCATACACTAAAACTCACCAAAATATTTGCCTTCCCATTTACGGATTGGCATAAAACACTCAGCATATCTGACCATGCAGGCTTTCCAATGCTCATCCATTTTTTAATTCCTGCTGTCTTCCATTAATAAATTACCTCTTGTGGCACATCAGTAGCACTCAATCCTAGAA